GGGAGGATTCCACCCCCCGCTTAGCCACTGCAGCGACGTCCCTCCACGGAGCCAACTTCTAAAAGGTCCGATTTTGTGCTCCGTGGCTCTAGCACTTGCCAGAAGCGGCCGACGGAGGCCCCCTCCCCCGCCGTCTATCCTCCCGAATATCGCCTCCGATTCACTTCTCCGCACGTCCTACCTTCCAGAAAGTGGTCACTTTTCTGTTCAGAGAGTTGTTGCTACTCTCTTCTTCGGTCTCCTGTTGAGTTCGTAGGTGTTCAGAATGGTTTGATCCCTATCCAGCTGAATTCCTGAGACCAGACGAAATCTAGGTCTCCTACTCCTCCGCCATCTTGCTCCGCCCCCCTCCAAAGAATGGTTTTTAAAAGGAAAATTGAAATTCAAAATTTGAAATCTGGAGGGAATCGACAAAGCCTTTTCTCCTTTCATCTGGAACCCTAGGTCTCGGAGGAGGGCACCTTCGAGGGCAGGGTCTGTCCAGTCGAGTTTCTGGGCAGACCCCTAGAGCCCTGGATGCGTGTCTCAGTTGAGCTCAGAAACGTCATTCCGCGGGTCTGTTCCCAAGCACCTGGAGATGGGGGTGGTGGGCAGCGTCCGCAACGAGGTCAGAGGGACCCACACCTGGGCCCTCACTGCAGACGACGACCACTCGGTGGAGAATGTGCTCTGGAAACAACACGTGGGGAGGGTCTGTGAATTTGCTTGTCTCTATTCCGAAATCCTAGTTCTTAGAGAAAGAATGATGCCTTCTCTTTTTTTCTGACATTTCTAATTAACAGCCAATATTCCATTACCACATAAATAGGCTCTGCCTTATGCTTTTAGTAACACTCCTTACGCTGTGAGAGACTGAAGTCTTCATTCCCTGCTTCCAAAAATACCTTATGATCCACATTAAAAAGCCATTTTTGTAGGACACGAAATTGTGAATACTGGAAATTTGGTGTGGTTCCAAACAAGTATGTTTGTGTATATGTGTACCTATATATATATATATATCAGTGTATACACCTCCTTCCCACGTGACCAGACAAAAGTGGAAAAGTGAAAAAGAAAACAGAAAGACAGACTACCGTATATGCAGGCCAAAAGATACATTTTGCAAGCAATCAAATTTTCATGGTCTGTAAGAGACTTTCCAGAACATCATTAATGTATTATTAGTTGTGCATTAAATCAACAGACACCAGATTTCATCTGGGCACAAAGTCCTCCGAAGAACGGAGAGATTTGGTGAATGTCCACGTTCCATACAAAACGACTCTTTTACAGGTGCAGGCTGCCGTTCTGCTTGTGCCCCAGGGAAGGACTGTACCGCTCTTCTCAGGCCCCGATATTCCAGAAGTCACGCCCTCAGAGTCTATGGATTGCTCACTGTTACACGGGGACGCGGAGGAACCACCACTCAAGAACTCCCACGTTGTGGTAACTGAAGATCCCTTGGCGTCCTGCCGGACTGGGATGTGGCCCGAGAGAAGGGCCGAGCACTTCTCATCCTGGGAAGGATCAGCCTGCACCACAGCTTGACGGTGACACAGAAAGGGCACGATTCTGCGCGTAGATACAACTGAGGCAATGGCTGGGTGGGATCCAGTCTTCTTCAGTCATAGAATAACCACATGGTTTATGCCATCCCCATTGTGTAGAGAGGGAAACTGAGGCTCAGAGAGAGAGAAATGCACAGCTGAGGCAGAGGGTCAAGAGAGGAGGCTGGCGGCGAGGTCCAGCCTCCCTGACTCCCGAGTGCCAGTCGCATGCCGGCCGCGAAGGGCGCTGCTTTCTTCCTTCTTGTTGAGTCTGAGTGTTTGGAGAGGCATTGGCTCAAGGTCAAGAACTGTCCTCACGGTCATGATGGGTAGAGCCCTAGGGAACTCTGAAGGCCGCGGTGTGGGGTATTCTTGCGGGCCCACGCAACTGTGGTTTGCACAGCTCCGCGTGACACAATCGTAACTGCAAAGTGCGTGTGGGTGGCAGTGAACACGAGACCCCGCAAACGGGGGGCTGCCCATGCGTCTCACTCCCTCGGCCTCAGGGCCGCGGCTCCCGTGTTCACAAGCCAACCCAGCCATCGCTCATGTCCCCCGACATTCAAGCGCTCTCCGCCTTGGGACGGGGGACCCGCCACGGTGTGTGAGACTCACTCAGAGGGAATCAAAGCTCCGACTTACCTTTCCGTAGGATCCTTGTCCTAGAACTTTCAAGAGTTCAAACTGGGAAGGGTCAGCCTTCTCAAAGCCTTCCTTTACATGGTGGCTGATGTCGATCTCCTTGACGGTGCCTTCCTCCTGCAAGAGAGTGGTGGGACACGGTGAGTACGCCCAGCAGCAGGTTGCTCCGGATTCACCACACTTCCGTCCTCTACGGACGTCACGACACGCTGGGCCATGCTATGGATTTTGAGGACCGCAGTGAAGGCAGGGAAAATCTGTTCTCGACCCTCGAGGTCTTCCAGCCGGACTGAGGATTTAATTTACATGAGATGGATTAATAGGAGAAAAAAAATCAAAGTATTATTCCATGTGCACAGAGGCCCAATAACAAAGCTGAGACCTAGAGAAATGACCAGAGCAGGCAGTTTTTATTCTTTTTTTTTTTTAATATTTTATTTATTTGAAAGAGAGAGAGAGAGAGCACAGACAGGGTGAGGGGAGAAGCAGACTCCCCACTGAGCAGGGAGCCCGATGCGGGGCTCGATCCCAGGACCCCGGGATCATGACCTGAGCCGAAGGCAGACGCTTAACCGACTGAGCCACCCAGGCGCCCCCAGGTTTTACTCTTTATAGACAAAGGGACAACAACAAATCTGCCAGGAATTGGCAAGACAAGGAAAGCTTGACTTTGGGAGCTTCAGTTAATTAGGAATTATTAGAGGATTTGGGCTGCGGCAGTAAACTGGGAAAAAGTAGCAAAGGCTCCTGTCTCTGGGGACAGGCTGTCTCTATTTCCTGGTGATGAAGGGTACCATCCCCGGGGCGGGGGGTGGTACTGTGACACGTGGGACATCACAGAGCTTTATGCCATCATCCTTTTCTGGGCCTATCTCAGGAAGCAGGCCAGGGGAGCTCTCGCTCGCTTCTTTTCCACATGAGTATTTGTCATTTGGTCTCATCTCAAGGACTCGTCAGGAGCTCTCCACGAAATCCATTCTGTGTCCAACAGTTTGGGCAAAAGTTGGGGTAGGGGTGACGATGGGACCCGTGCGGCAGAATGAACCTCTGAGATCTGTCTCAATGGCAGTGGGGCTGTGCTGAAAAGGGCCGTTGACAGGCTCCCTACGTGGCCGTGGTTTGTGAAATGCAGATGTGTGACCTTCTCCTTCTTCCTGAAGGATACCTTTGCCACAGCTAATGCAAAGTGCATTCCCTTGGTCTCCCAGAGACCGTCAGAAGAAGCAGTCAGGTAAGATTTTTCTGCCAGTCCAGAAGCAAGATTTCCCAGTAGGAATAAAAAAAAAAAAAAAAAGTCTCTGTTCTTTAAATTAAGACATGGACAGAAATCACTACGATTTTTCATCAGAGAACTTCCTGTCCCCACAGATGCATCACTTCACTTATAACAGGGTAAATCCGCCCAATGCCAGCAATCTGAAGTTGGGAAGCTGGAAAAGAGGCATTTTTCCTGACAGTAGAGGCTCACTATTGCTGAGTGCCTCACTGTGCTTCTCTGGGACTCCCCTTCCAGCCCCTCCATCCATCGGAGCACTCACCCCTGCTCTACCGTCTTGGCATTTGGCGAGGTGTTGAAAAACAGCAGAATGGGCTGGCTGAAAAGCTCATCTAAAAATAGCACCCAGTAATCACAAGCACATTGTGTTCTGGACACTCAGGACTTCTCATTGTTTCTTTCATTCCTTAAGAAATTGTTTTGAAGTAGAGATTCAGTCCG